TGGAGTTCGGCAAGTCCAGTTGCGAAGTGACGGAAAGCGGACATTTGGATGTTAAAGTTCTGTTGCTAGGTACTTACATAGTTCGGCAGTGGATCGTGAGTATTTTGGGAACTCCTTGTGTAGGCCAAACGTGCTAGCTCCGACACTAGTGGCCAGCAATGGTGGCAATCCATGCTCAGTTCTCAGCTTACCGGAAAGCTGCAGGCTATTGCGACCGCCGGGCTGTTGCACTACGCCAGCAGCATGATCGCGATGTGCAGGTGCCTCATGTCATGCTTAGCGCCAATATTTGATATTTTTTAATCCAGATGGCCAACAGACGAGCAATAACTTTCAGTGTTGCTCGCATGCGTCCACAAATTGGTGGACACCTCCCTCGCGGCACTTGTTTGGCTCGTTTGTCATGAAAGCAGGCGCACTTTTTCGGAGCACTGTTTAGGTCCAGTTCATGCCTCGCGGAAGGGCTTGGTTAATGTAGGCAAGAGAATGAGAGCCTTGAGGTTCTTCAGAGGGCTGCAAGTGTCATCAGTATGCGTGGATCTCTCCAAGCAATGTGTTTCTTTAACTTTGTGCGAGAGAGTGAATGACAACAAGTGTACGGCCTGCAACCAGATATGCAGCCGGTGCAGGCTGTGAGGCTGTGAATGCGTTGCTGGAATCAGCAACCAACAAACAAGAGCCCAGGAGAGCAATATAATGTGCTTTTCGCTTGGAGTTTGTCAACACGTAGTGGTCAGTTGCAAAGCGCTTCTTCTCCAGATGTTTTCAGAGACCCCATTTAGCACCCACTTTATTTCCGCCGCAGGCAGTGCGCCGCAGTGGTAGCCCAAAGGCGGCGCAGATGCTGAAGGAGATTGGGGCAGCCTTCGAGGCGCAAAGCCTTGCCATGTTCCCCGACTTTGTAACCAACATATGGCCTTGTTGCAAGGGGCGAGGGGTGGAGGCTCCAGGCGACAGCTCAATTTGCAGCACGTATGGAGATACTTGCAGGCAAGTCTTGGCTGCAAAAGTTATGGAGACAAATACGTTCTATGTGGCCAAGCAATACCAAACAAGGCGCGCGGAAAACAGCCAGCTGGGTTAAACTGCATGATTAGTTTTGTCCTTTTCCTCCTTGGTTTCAGCACATCAGGGTGCAATAAGTGTCCATGCAGGCCTCGAGCACGCCATGTCAAGGGAGCTGCTAGACGTGTCTTTGTGTGTGTCCGTGTAGTTAAGGTGCGAGCGCTTGCCACGTTGCATTTGGCCCTCGCTTCATATCCACTTAGCTGTCCTAGCCAAAGTTTTTCCTGTCGGATGATCCGAGCTTCCAATGCTTCATGCTTCGAGTTTTAGCCTAGAGTTTCATGTCGCTTGGACAGAGTCCAGCTCAAAAGACAGATTCTGGCAGGCAGAGACGCAGGAGCACTGGGAGTACACTGCTGACTTGATGCAGGCGGATCAGCCGACGAACGAAATCCTGCATTGGCATGGTCTGAAAAATGGGACGCATCGAACACGCCTGTCAACTGGCGCAGGATGTCGTAATTCAGGTATCATCTCCAACCTCCCCCATTTTGGGCCAAGCCCCGTGAGCTACTTGACAATGTACTTTCAGGCAGGATCCTCGCCCATAAAAAACACAATTTGAACTCGTCGAGGCATGGCACGGGGGGGGGGGGGTATTCGTGAATCGTGTTCATAGGGCCACGGCTGTCGAGCCAGTGGGTTCCATTGTGGAAAAACGACGAACCATAGAGAATGAGGAGGCCCCTGCATCTGCCTTGGGGTCGGGGAGGGCTCGATTCGCCGCCACAGTGATGCTTTGTCCTCAATTTCGGCCTGAGCCTGGTACGCTCTGCACGGACAAAGAAAAGACTAAACGAAACAATCCAGGCCAAAGTCGCGTACAGTCAGCTGCTTGCAACTGAGGACATTGTACAGGCCAAATGGGTGATATTCAGAGCATTCATTTTTGTGATTGTTTATGGTTTGAGTGCCTTTCAGCGGTTTCAAAGAAGGCTTTGCACTTCTGGCGCTTGCGGTTGCCAACCACCAGTGGGTAAGTGGCTCCCAGTTAAGCCGGACATTGGGTTTTGTAGATGCTTGCAAGCACGTGGCTCGCTTTGGCAGAGTGAAAGGCTGACCAAGAGGAAGGTGACATTAGCAGGAGATCCTTTGTTGTTCTGATTGGTGTTTTGGTACCTTTTGGTTCTCTTGGGCGCAACCAACAAAAAACAACTTAGGGAGTTTAGGGTCAGAAAGCAAAAGTCCAACAACAACATGTTGTGGAGTTTAGGGCTCAGACAAAAAGCAAAATCCTCAACAGCATGCATCGCTCTTTTAGTGCCCTTGTGGAACCTTACCTCAGGGCACCCGGGATCTGGGCTGAGACCCCAAAGCTATCCAAAGCTTTCAATTGGCAAAAAACAGCTTGCGGAGTTTAGGGTCAGAAAGCAAAAGTCCAACAACAAAAACAGGCTATGGAGTTTGGGGTTCAGACCAAAAGCAAACAAACACACCGCAAGAAAACCGGCGGTCCCCTCCCAGGCCTTGCTGCAGTGCGAGGGCCACCACAGCCGCCTGGCCGTGCTGGGCGCTGCGCTGCGCCGCGAGATGCAACGCCTGGCCGCGGTGTCGGTGGTGGCCGCCTGCACCGGAGGCCGTATGGCCGTGTTTCGTATCTGGCCGTGGTTCAAAACCAATGGGATCCCATCTTGGGGTAGGTGAATTCACCCATTTAAGTCTGTTCACTGGGGGTACGATTTGATTTTTATCCATGGCCATTTGTGAGTTTGGGGGGTGGGGGATAGGGGATGAAAGTTCGGTGTATTGTTTGTGTGTAACTGTGCAACTGGGTGTTTGGGGATGGTTTTTGCAGGATGGGGGATGGGGGCTAGGGATCGATGCGTTTGCGGGATGGGGGATGGGGGATGAAAGTGTTTGTACTTTTTGTGCAACGCTGTGCAACTGGGTGTTGTGAAACTGTATTTCTCAGGGGCCAAGCTTCGACGGTCGACGGTCAACCTTGATTTGAAGAAGAGCTTCCGCTATGGCTGTGGCTCAAAAAACCGGTACCAAAACGGAACCCTGGCAAGCGGAAACATGGACCAAAACCTGCGTAACCCCTCCTGTGTAATTTTGAGCCACACCCCTATGTGAGGATACCTGACTAAGCCTAGTGAGTCGCAGTGCGCTTGGCAGATGTTTTTGGTGAATTGGTAGTAAAACGTACCCCTCGCGGTTCGGAGGTGTTTATATAGTTGTTGTTCGTTGAGTCAAAAGGCTTTTGGAGGATGGGTAATGTGGAGAGTTGGAGAGTTGTTCACGTTCCCCTGGTGGAGTTGTCTTGGCGGAGGGCGGTTGGGTTCCATTGGCCGGCTTCAAGCCGTGATCCTCAGGCAGCTGGCAAAAGATGTTGCCAAGGAAGGGCGGCAGCTTGAGTCGCCCTGGCTACCCAATGTGGAGAGGTCTGAAAGGCAATTGACCGAGGGTTTGCAATTCCCTGTTGCTTGCGGCAGGCGAAGCGCAAGCTTGAGGCCGGCGGGTACTGTGGCATTCATTGAGTAGACGACGTTGTACTGGCGATGTTTGCCTAATTGTGTTGCCTCCGATGGCGCTAACTTGACGGAACCAGGTTTCTTGCACTTGATAGAGCTATTCCCATCTACTGAAATTTACTGAACCTCAGTCATCACATGACTATGCATCACCCACAGCGCGGTCTTGTTGCAGCACTGGGAAGTGGATGGTCAAGAAATACCGTCGGTTGAAATTTGACCAAGTGACCAAGAGGGTGGTGGGTGTCCCCTTTGATGTGGACTGCAACGGATGAATTAGGAGGGACCGTTCAATGGGATTGCAGTGTGCCGCAGGCAGAGGCTTTCTGCACCAGCTTCAAGCAGAGCCACGGCCCAAAGCCAGGCCGCCCCGCAGGTTGCGATTTGTGGAGTTGCTGGAAATGCAGCCGACTTGGTTGGATTTCTTTGTCAAAATGGATTTCATGCAGATGTGCAGCGGTTGTACACTAGCACTTCCCGTTGATATCTTTAATTCATGCTCCGCTTCGTGAAGGGCACTGCAGCGCAGCCCAGTTTGCCCTGGGCTGCGCCCCAGATGCCGTGCCACGATTGACAGGGTCACGGCGCCAAGTGGTCCCCACCTTGAGAGCAAGCACATGCTTGGTACAAAACTAGTCAGGTTTAGGTTGGCCCGTGTGTCCACGTCCACGAAGCTACAAATTTGAAAATTGCAGCTTCACGACCGTGCTCAGTCGTTCCTGAGGCAGTTGGTAGCTTAGTAGGCTGCTGTCTGGCCTGTTGCGAGTGCATCTTCCAGACATCAGGTTGATCATGGCCAAGTGTCTAGGGCATGAGTTACCTTTGACCCCACCTGTCTTTTTGTCCCGGCCCTTGGATCAACCTGGTGAAGGAACGAGGGGCCAGCCGCTACGCACTGCGGCGGTTCTTCGTGGCCCGTCCTACATCGCAAGAGCGCAGATGTAATCACGTCCAGCTGGATAGCCAGTCCTTGGAAGCCAGCAAAAGCAAATGTCTAGATGGTTGCTGGATCTGACAATCCGCCGAGCCTAATCTTTCCCAGGCTGAAAGGCCGCACTCAGCTGTTTCTGCTGAGCTTGCTGTTCTTGTTCCTGGCCGGCGTGTGTCCCGACAAAAGGGACTTGGATGAGCTCGCGTTGGGGTCAGACACATGGGTTACTCAGCTGGTACTCAGCCGTTTTCACAACCAAGCTGGATCGGCAGTTGCAGTATTGTTGAGCAAATTTGTGATATTGCGTTTGCTCTACGCCCATGGATGTGCAATGATTATTTCTGGTTTGCTTCAGCATTTGCAGGCGATGGACGCGGGGGCGGGCGGGGGGGGGGGGGTAAGCATGTGTAAGCAGGGTGGTGGGCGTCAGCGCTGTGCTGTAACGTGTGCGACCTCGCTTTAGCTTGTTCGAGCGTCTTCAGGATTGACGATTCATTCTAGCTTGAGCTCATGTGTTTGGGCCTTCTGAGGCAATGTCGTGCTGGCCACCACCATCGCCGAGCGCGCGTGCTCAGCCAAACTCATCCAAACTCTGGGTGGTTCGCGGCGTTGAGCATTCAACCCATGACATTTGCGCGGCACTCGCCTGAAGCTTTGCTCGTGGCAGAGAGTAGGAATGAGGGGCCCAGCCTGGTAGCGCAGTTTGTTCTGTTGGCAGTCCTTGCTGTTGGCCGCATTCTGCGTTGGCATGGCATGCTGTTCATGTCCCCTACCGGCAGCCGTGATCAAGTTTTTTTGGATCTCCAAGGGGGAGGTAGGGTCAGGCCACGAGGCATCGGCTGTTGGCAGGTCATCCCTCACCCTGCCAGAAGTGATCGGCGCCCGGGCCCTGGATCAGGCGACCTGAAAAAAGGGCGGACCCAAGCGACATCGTCGAGTGGTTCGGGTCCTATGGAGGCGATCCGTTTGGTTTCTGCAACTCCATTCTGGTAGAATTGCTGATAGATGAACGTTGATAGTTGACCTTGATGCAGATGTCCTGAAAATTGCCTTTGTGGGGTCTGGACGTGACTCGCGCCGGTCATGAGTCATGTGTTCCTTACAATGGTCCTCGAGCCATTTGAGCTGTGGACGTTTTGTGCATGTGTGCGATTGATATTTTTGGAAGTGACCCGAGTGAATAGCAGCATTCAGCTGCGCTTTGGCAAGCATAATGGCATACCACATCCAGAAATGCATATTATATGATGACGCGCTTTTGACAGGTGAATTATAGCTTGAACCTCTTGTCGGTGGCCAACGTCCTAACCGAGACATCAGAAGCACGACTTGCAATACATGAGCCACTCCTCCAAATCCAACCTTTGCTTTGGGGAGACCTGAGGACGACCTTGCATCAAAGACAGTCAAGTACCTTAATCAAACGTTTATTGCCCAGGGCAGGACAGAAAGGGATCACTGACTAAATCCACATCGTTAGCAGGTTTCCAGCAGCCGAGCCAGCTGTGAATTCGGAGCGCTCGAGCAGATTTGATCGAGTTTCGAGGTCATCGACTTCTGCATCCACAAGACCAGCGTGGGCGATCCGAGCCAGCAAGTGGCTCAGAGCGTGATTTTCCTCATTGCCTGGCCTGAATCCAAATTGGCTGAAGCCCTCAGATGGTTTCTTTTGTCTTGGCTTCATTGCAGAAGAGCACAAATAAAGCGGTTCCCAGTTTCGACATGTTGGACTGGCCGGAGCTGACCAGCTACAGAATGTTCATCGAATGAAAACAAGGCTGAACTCATGTTTACAGACGGCCCATTGCATGCGCACATGCGTACACTTACATCCAGCCCTCATGGGTTGCCGGCACCCGAACCAACGCGCCACCCTAGACCTGAGCCCTAAAGCTGAATTGAAAGCAATCAGAACTTTAAACCTGAACCTGAACCCTGACCATAACCCAAAACCTAGACCCTAAACTTAAGACCCTGCTCCCTACGCCCAAGTGGTACCACGGCCCTGGGCCATACTTGAACCACGTGGCAGGACCGGATAGGATTGAAAATAGCACGCCCATCCACGGGGGCTGTGGGCAGATGTATATAGGATGTCAATTCAATCCATTCTCATTTTTTACATCCATGCCACTCGCATAGCAGTCTTGCGAGCACGTCCACGTCAAAACGCTGACGTAATTACAGGTTGTGTTATACAGTTGCGTGCTTGTGGTTGGGTTTAATTGTTCTTTGTGCACGCAATCAGCCCACGGCACGTGCTGAGGATGGGTCTTTGCAAGATCACGGCGCAGCCAGATGCCTGGATCCACCGAAGATGGAGTGGCTGAATGTGCGGCCATGGTATTTTCCTTTTCGATGCCCCATGCCCCTTGGTGCACAATGCCCCCGGTGCACAGTTGATCTAGTCATCATTTAGGCAGAAGGCTGCACAAATCTAGTCACTTCCAGCCCGTGTTTTCCAGAAAGTCAGGCAAAGACACCCCGGGGCCCCGAAAGAGGCTTTACCTCGTTACTTTCAGGGAAAATGGGCGCACGGTAGGGAGTCCACGGGTACATTTTGCTCACCTTTCGGGGCAAAGCAAAGGGCTCAGCTCGAGACTCGCTCCCTGTCCGGGCTGGACTGGCTTGCTGCCGTGTGTGTTGTCACACACTACCCGTGTGCATGCTTACATGCTTTGCTGCCTTGGGGGGCACGGCCTTAATCTTGCTCAGTGGTGAACTCGGTTCTCAGAAAGATGAGGGACCCCTGCGAAATTGCCGACCTTGATATACGTTTTGCACTAGCACAGAAAGCTCAAAGTCATGGATTGATTTTCTATGGCATTCGACGGCCCTAGGTGGTGTGCGCGGTCTGCGTGCCTGCAACGCGAAGG